CGATTCCCCCTTGAAGATCTTCGTCGAGATCTCGCCATTTTCACCGATCCTCCGCTTCCTCCGGTGATTCGCGCGAGAGACATCGACGCGTATTCGAAGAACACGCCGCAAATACGAACGAGCGTACGAAAGAAAAAAAAAAAAAAAAAAAAAAAAAAAAAAAAAAAAAGAAAAAGAAAAAAAAGAAGAAAAAGTAAATAAATATAGCGAAAAATTTTTTTTTTTTTTGAGCACCGTATCTCGCGATGCATGCGTTATCACACTCACACTACCGCTTGCTGTCTCACTTCCTAACACACACGGACACACAGCCAATACGCAACGACGCGGATCGTTGGCCGCCTGCATTAATCCACGCGCTGGACGTTTTGCGCGTGTATACATGTATACGTCTACGGCTGAATGAAACACACCGTACCCCCGGCTTGCATGGTTCTCTACGGAATGCTAGGTGAGTTTCGCGATGCACCGTGAAAAATATATAGTCGGGGAGGAGGGGAAAAAATCGTGGTTTATCGGACAGTTTGTTGTTACAGTCAGTTGTTACAGTCGAGTTGACGAAATTCGATGTGTTTTTTTTTCTTTCTTTTTTTCTTTTTTTGTATATGATTCGTTATTGATTCGTTCTGCACTTTCACTCCGCGGAGTTCGCTCACTCACGACGCAAACGCGTGCGTCGATATATTTTTAGACGTCGATTTTGATCGAGAATTAAAAAAAAAAAAAAAAAAAAAAAAGAAAAGAATCATCGTGATTTTGCGCTTTTGCTAATGAAAGTGCGTTATATAAGTTCGTTGTAGATGGCGCAATTTCCTTTAAGGAGATTTGATTCAAATAGCAAAGAACAAGCGCCATCTATGTCGAAGAATTTTTCCATGCAACGAATCAATTAGATTGATTTAAATTTCTGATCAGTGAGAATAATCCATTCGCACGATTATGTTTCAGTATTCAGTAGAAATTTTCAAATTTTAAGAACGTATTCCAATCAAGAACATTTCATTTTCAGTAAGGCGACTCGTTGTCTGACCAATTGCGTACTTATTTCACTGCGAGCTATTTCAGGACGCTTGTAACGCTTACACTCTGAGTTCTGAGAATGTTATTTATTTTGATATTAAATTACGCATAGTTTTATTATATATATATATATTGTTATTAAGGTAAATGTTAGAGAAAATTGTTAAGCATGCAAGCATGATTCACAATTGCTGAAATTGTAGCTAGGTATATATTATCGGATACCGATAAGTATGACAGTATTGGCTTGCAATTAGTTTACGTGTCATAGTAGATGACTATTTTAATATTAAAATTACGCAAATGTTATAAATTTCAGTTAAAATGAAAACGCTATTATACATATTTAATTTCAGAAATTCGATATATTTTATCGGAAAAAGTATTCATCGTGTCGCTAGTTCAACATAAAATATCATTATTTATTTTCTAAACTATTTTTTACGCGTAAAAAATTAATTTTAACCTATCATTGAATTTATTATTTATTTATACAAATTTAATTTCGTTTTCTCATTCGAATGAATAAATAATATTCATTACTTCATTTCATATATAACGAGTTTCGATAAATTTCATAAATTTGTTTATATTGTTTTATTAAGTAAAATTAATCTTTAGTATCCTAAATAATTAGAATACGTTCTTAAAAATTAACGATTCAATATTGAAACATAATATAAATATAATTTCAAATTCTGAAAAAAAAGTATCAGCCGGTTAAATTATCGTCTATAAATTATTTCCATGTTTTTTTTTTTATTCAATTTACTTTTTCTTTTTTTTTATTTTTTCTTCTCTATTTCTTCCTTTTCATTGCTCCGTCACTGTCACTTTCTCGTTCGCACGATCGGCGGTATAAATCGCCGTGAAATATTACCGAAGGTTCATCGGACTATATATTTTTCGAAAAACGGGGCGCATCGCAACGAAAAACGGAAGAGACAAACGGGCGGAAATAGTAGGTGATGCATGCGCAAGGAACTCCTCTAACACATGTGCGAATTAACCCGATTGATATGAACACCGAGAACTGGGATGCATCCGTGGAGGCATCCGTTATATACTCTACACCACACCACCACCACCACCACCACCACCACCCAACAACCAACA